AGGGTTTCTAAATAAGGGTGCTAAAAATCATCTTAATTCAAAAGAAAAAGTTGTTTTCATTCTGCATGGGCAGATATTTGTTCTTGTTTTAAGTATAAGGCACTTAAGTTTTTTTTAAGTCATTTTGCGTAAATCCTGATTTAAGGGTGTAGAGACGTTTATATTGGAAAACAAAAATGCTGAGCAAGACATTCTTTTTCTTTTCTTTTTTGCAGTGTATACAACATTTAATGACTTGCTCATATTTAAGACTTTAAGGCCTTAAATGGTGGAAGGGCAAATTAAGACTTTTTAAGACCCACAAAAACCATGTAAATGCAACACTGTCTGATTGGAAAATGTGTCTAGTTTTGCAAGAATTTAAATAACGTACATATGTGTAAAGTCACTGCAGTTTCCAGCTGGTAGTTGCAGTAAAAAACACCAACAACTATTCATTTCGGCATAAAGTATAACCAAAGACAGAATCAGTTAAATTTCCTTGCACAAACACTGAAGTACACAAACTCACGGTTTGATGTTTGCGTCAAATAATCATATTAGCCTGTGGCTTTTCTGACGCATTAAAACGTACTCACCTGGTAGCGCGCTACCCTTGCAATGCAGAGAAACACGAGTCATGAAAGAGCTCAAAGCCTCACAGATGAGGTCAAATGGCTTGGTTACTTCACCAAAATGGTTCGTATGCCGATCAGGAATGTTCGCACGTTGATAAATGTGGCGGCCAGTTTGCCCGATTGGATGGACGATTTCCAGCCCAAAAGCTCCCAAAAACCCGCCCAAAAACCGCCCAAAACTTGAACTGTCAAAATAATGTGATGGAATATGTAAATCAAGGTTGATAAGGGGCATTTTTAACTCCTTAAAACAAAATAAATGTTGACAAAATAATTTATATAACGTTAGATAAATTTCCCAGGTAAATCGGGGCAAATAGCCTACATTAAAGGGAATTAGGCTACCGAACATGAATAAAATATTCAAGCAGACACTGTCAAAACGGCAATCAATCATTAGCTCATCCATGAACATGATTTCTGCCCGAGTCCCGTCGGATTGCTTTCGGCTGTGGGGATGCTGTGTTGCCAGATTGGATGGACGATTTCCAGCCCAAAAGCTCACAAAAACCCGCCCAAAAACTGCCCAAAACTTGAACTGTCAAAATAATGTTATGGAATATGTAAATCAAGGTTGATAAGGGGCATTTTTAACTCCTTAAAACAAAATAAATGTTGACAAAATAATTTATATAACGTTAGATAAATTTCCCAGGTAAATCGGGGCAAATAGCCTACATTAAAGGGAATTAGGCTACCGAACATGAATAAAATATTCAAGCAGACACTGTCAAAACGGCAATCAAGAAATGCATCATTTTCAACGTCAGCAGTCAGAATAATCCAATTTAAATGCAAAAAGTGCCCAATATAAGTGATAGGAAAAAGCAACGTTGCAGGTAGGGGAGCGCGGGGCACAAAGTAACGGGGTAAATTGTAATTTTAAATATTTCCACACATGCTAGCATAACCAAATTTACAGCATTTACTAGTTACTATATCAACATTATATAGAGAAAAAAGTGCGCCAAAATTCAAAAGTCTTTTGAAGATATTGCTGAACATTTATTTTACCATAGTAAAATTATATTTCTGGCTTAAGTCAATTTTTCATCTCAGTTTTTATTACTCATTTAAATTGAGACAAACCTGCTATTATTTTAATCTCCAATCTGTTATTTATCAGTTTAAATTATTTTTTAATGCTTCGCTAACTATCAGAAGACAGTAACCAGTTTTAAATTCCAGTTGCGCAGATGGGGCACGTTGTAACACTGCGTTACAATGTACCATGCCGTGCTATTCTATGACATTAGCTATGTAATTCACACTATTTACTTTAATCAATTTGAATGATAAACGACTAGAAACAGGTGAATAAAGACTGACAGTCAATGTTTAATGTTAAGAAATTATTATTTCAAGACATGTAAAGCATTTTTGCTCGTTAATGTGGGCCGTCCCAAGCATGATTGCAATGTGTTCATTGTCAAACTCCAAAATCAGATTATTTTTAATTCTTAAAAAACGCCATTATTTTATTTGAAATAAATAATTATTTTATTTTATTGACAAAATATTTTAGTTTGTATAGTATATTTTTTTCATTCGATCAGATAAGATTTTAAGCTGTTATATGGTCATGTTACAACGTGCCCCTCAGATGTTATAATGTACCCCACCTATGGGGCATGTTGTCACATTATTTACATGAGGGTAAATAAAGAAAAACGCATACACTGTAATTATGAAACAAAGCGATATATTTGTACTAGACAAGTGTGAAATTACTGTGGATTATAAAATTATACTCTGAACCATGTGGATTTACACAATTTGATATAGTCAAAAAGTGTTACTTTGTGCCCCGCTCTCCCCCTATTTCACACTCGTTCATGCGCACACCATGACAGTCAAAACTGTGTCACTCATTGATAGGCTACATACTGAATTATAATCCGACAATACAAAAAAAAAACAATAATGCGCTTTCCTTCGTGTTGCTCTATAATTTTACACAGAACTAGAGGAAGCCTCTTGTTAAGTTCATATTGTAGAACATAATACAGAACGTTGCACAGTCAAAACTAATCAAGTCTAGCAGTTTTCAAGGATTTATCAATCTGGACGTTTAAAAGATAAAAGACAGGATCGTAGAAACCGACATATTTAGTTTCGGTTATGAATAATTCAAATGTGCTCTGATTTCGGAGTTGCAGTGATAGAGCCTTCATGTCATCTCACTCCACAATAATTCACGTTTTGAGACTTGAGTCACTCTCCCATATTTCTTTGTCAGTTGCTCATCCTTTTGATACAATGATTGGGAATATTTGTTTTTTATCTAACTCTTCTGCTCGGAACAGGAGAATTAGACAGCTATTTCAGAATGAGATTGCTTCTCTCCCGTACATTGTGTCCTACTGGAATGGCCAGTTTATCAACATTCCATGGAAGTATACAAGAATGTTCTGGATGGATTTCTGTATTTTCATCACAAAGTTTTTCTTTGTTATGCAAAGATGTTTTATTTGGTCAGCACAATTTTGATAAAGATGCAAAGGACCAATATTTCTTGATAAATTTGTTTATTTTTCTAGCGAAATTTTTCTTACATAAATGTAAATTTCAGGGTGCTAAGCCTTACTTTTTTATTTTTCATAAGGAACTTAAATCCTATCTGGACACACTCCTTATATCCAGCAACTCCAAAGCCCTTAGAACTGTCTCATTGTGTCATTTGTAGGATATTTTGCTGATTTTGTAACCTGAATTTGTACTCTCAATTGTATGTACTCCTGGCATTGATGGTGTATGTTCTTAGCAATGCAATAAAAAAAGAGGAAGTAATCTCGTCAAAGAGAAATTGATTTTACTCCAAAAATACGATATTTGTAACATTTGTTTGCATAACTATTATTATGTAGCCTAAACATGGGTGTGTAAAAAAAATTAGTTTCGGCACTGCACACTGATTTATCAGCGGACCTTTTTAAAATAAACAGTGTAACTTTTATGTTTGGTTGACTGCATTTTAGTTTGATGATGACTGGCTGAAATGTCAGGAAACGCTAGAACTAATGTTGTTTGTGTGTGCGTGAGGTGCCTGCGCGATCAGATGGATTTAACCAAAGACATAATTCAATTCAAGTTTATTTGTATAGCGCTTTTCACGATACAAATCGTTGAAAAGCAACTTTACAGAAAATTAAGTTTCTACAATATTTAGTAGTAGCTTATCAGTGGTGACTGTCAGTTAATGTAGTCTACATATGGCAGAAATGTACGGAAAAATCAATTAAAGACGTAATCAAACAGACGATGAAAAGACAAAGAAAATAAATCAAATGCATTAAGAGTGTCACAAAAATGGCGTAGCCTATACTTGTTGCACAGTGTCCCCCCCCCCCTTTGTTAATCTGTTAATTATATTATAGCCTATTATATATTTTGTGTGATCCTATTTATTTTATTCCTTTTATAGACTTAATTTCTGTTTTTCTCCTTTCACAGAAGCGCAGCAGGTGCATGATTAACGATCGACTAATGAGCTTCATTTGACGGTCAGGAAAATAAAAATGAACAAAATGCTGTCATTCTAGAATTCTCCACCATATTAACGCGCAAGTTCAGGTAACTCAAAAACTTGCATACACGAGCTGAGACCAGACGTGAGATTTGATCGTAGCCACCGCTCACGTCCATATTGATAAATTCCAAGTTTTGCGTTGAAACGACCGTACGCCCAATTTTCTCTCTCATAAGTTCGTTTCATAAATGAGGCCCATTATCCTTAAATTTAGTACGTTCATTTCAAACGCGATGGATCATTAACATTTTAGCGCCACTCACCGGACATTTAAAACAACTAGTTTTGTGTAGTTTTACAACTTTAGAGCCCCCTACAGTTAAGTGAGTGTAATTCACTGTCATAATTACAGTGGATGGCTGTACGCGTGCATTTGTTGTTGGCGTGAAACAATCCACTCCTTTCAAGTGGTACTCACTGCAGAGTCAAATGACTTCCAGCTCCACCTCTCTGGACATCTAATGGGGTGGAGGGATAGAGTTGTGGGTAGGGTTAGGGCAGGGCTGTCCAAACTCTGTCCTGGAGGGCCGGTGTCCTGCAGAGTTTAGCTCCAACCCCAATTAAAATCACCTGAACCAGCTAATCAAGCTCTCAGGCATAGAAACTTCCAGTCAGGTGTGTTGAGGCAAGTTGGAGCTAAACTCTGCAGGACACCGGCCCTCCAGGACCGAGTTTGGACAGCCCTGGGTTAGGGTGTGGTTGGATAACCTAGCTCCACCTTTTAGGCACAAATTACATTCGCTCCTCCTCGCTGGACGTCTAGCAAGGAAGAGCGAGACGTAAACTCCACCCATTTACTCTGCAGTGAGTAGCTTCTCACTCCTTTCGCTCAATTTCGTAAGACAGCCCAGGTAGCCAGTGCAATCGGGCCAATTGCGGCTGAATGTCGGCTCACTTGGCTGGCCCAGTAATGGTTGCCAGATTTGGCTAGGCTTTGGATGTGCAGACCTGGCCCGGTTTGCACTGAGACACGGCACATTTAACCACATTACGGACCGGTCCGTATGGGCATGTATACCTGGACCAGTTTAGGTTGAGTGCTGGGGGTGGGTCTCCGTTTACAATGTGGTAAATAGTATGTAGCAGTGACACTTAAACTTAAACATAATATCTTATGTTATTTCTCAGTGTATTTTTATTTTAATTCCTATTCATATTTTTTTTCCTTTTATCTAGCACACTCTTTTTTCTTTAACTACATTTGGAAATTAATGATTTAATTCATATAATGAAACAAGCTTATAGTGGTTAAGGGAATTTAAAAATGTTTTTGCTATACGAGTTTCAAGACATGCGCACTAGCTTTGACATCTAATGACAAAACCTGATAGGCTTTTTGTGCTGCTAATTGCCAGAAGACCAGAAGAACTTGCTACCCTGGTGAGTAAACATTTGATAATCTAACTATAATATCATTTTAATAAACCGTTCTACACATATAATATCAAAGTAATGTTTATTTATAATGAAGCTATAATTAAGAGTTTGCTGACATAGTGCTAGAGTTTAGCTCCAACCATAATCAAGCACACCTGATCGAGCTAATCAAGGTCTTGATGGTTACTAGAAACTTCCAAGCAGGTGTGAGTTGAAGCTGGTTGGAACTAAACTGTGCAGAGCTGCGGCCCTCCAGGAATTGAGTTTGACACCACTGTACTGGTCTTTTTTCTTTCTTTTTCAATCAGTGCAAAGAAATGCAAGTACTGGCAGTGCATCAGATGGAGAGATTTAAAAGGTCAACAAAAGATGGCTGCTGCTCACTTTGGACAGAGATGGGGGAAGAAAAGAGTGGGTCCGAACGCAAACAAATTCTTCTAAAGGTATGTTCCATTACATTCATGTTATCTGTCAGATTGTCTGAATAATCATACATGTCATTGTCTGTTCCCCTTTTTGTATCTCTTTCTGTCAGTCTGTCCCTCTTTTAGAGTACGCTTACTTGAGGAATCTCCTGGATTTTATTTTTTTTCAAATAAATTCTAATATCGCTCATATTTTCATCTCCTTGAGAGGGGGGGGAGAAATGGTGTAACGGCCAAACCCTTAATCTTTGTAAAGGTGACATGTTTAGTTGACATGCATAAGTACATGTAGACTTAACAAGGACACTGTAAAATATGTATTTAAAATGTTTAGTTGGAAGTAGATGCCATCTTAAGGATTTTAAGGTAACAATGTCATTTTGTGGAAAAACAAATTATTCAAAGCTCTGGTTTTATCAAAACTGGGAGTCTTTAATACACATATTTTATAAATTGTAATTCTGTGTGTATGTATGCATGTATGTGTGTGTGTGTGTGTGTGTATATATATATATATATCTATCTATCTCACACCAACCAAAATGGTACTCTTAGCCAGTACTGGCCCGAGTCTGGGAACTGAAACTGAGCCCACACCACCGGCATTGGGCCACAATCACACCGACGAGTGGCCCAATGCCAGTGGTGTCGGCTCAGTTTCAGTACCCAGACAAAGGTGACATGTTTAGTTGACATGCATAAGTACATGTAGACTTAACAAGGACACTGTAAAATATGTATTTAAAATGTTTAGTTGGAAGTAGATGCCATCTTAAGGATTTTAAGGTAACAATGTCATTTTGTGGAAAAACAAATTATTCAAAGCTCTGGTTTTATCAAAACTGGGAGTCTTTAATACACATATTTTATAAATTGTAATTCTGTGTGTATGTATGCATGTATGTGTGTGTGTGTGTGTGTGTATATATATATATATATCTATCTATCTCACACCAACCAAAATGGTACTCTTAGCCAGTACTGGCTAAGTGTTTCAATTCTTGGCGGCGTGATTGTGGCCCAATGCAGGCAGTTTTGGCAGCCGGACTCGGGCCAGTTCTGGGGCGTCATTCATCCCATGTCCGAGTTATTTCATCTGGCCTGCCGGGTCGGGGCCATTATCGGGCCAAACCGTTTTGGCTACCTCGGAGAAGCCATCCGAATTATTATGTCAGTGTACCATAAGAATGATTTTAAAAACGATATTTTAAGACAGAAAAAAAATTGTAGATATAGTCGCTTTAATTTCCGAACTGCAGTAATAGTAGTCCAGTTAACTATTTCGCATAAAACTGAACGCGCTGTTAGCAGCCACCACTCGCTGAACATTTCACTTTGATAGTATGGCAAAACATGTAAGAAGCAATGTAATATTTTACAGAAATGTCTCCACAGGCTGTTTTTCCATTGAACCTGCACTGACTAAGTGAACTCAAGCAACAACTCGGCATGTCACATTTCATAGATTGAACACCATGAGGTATATGAAGCAATTTTAATTTATGCACATAAAACAAGCAAACAAAGTTTTACAAGTAGAAAAGAATTAGTAGAAATTGAAAAAGTGGATTCCCAAGCACCTCTCCATAATGGATCAATGGTTAAGTAAATTCATTCAAATATTTGAAAATGAAAGAAAATAAAAGCTGAAAAAGCAGTTCTTTGTGCTAGAAAGCAGTGTCATTACAGATAATACTTGTTTTCTCATGAAATTTTTAACTATTAAACAAATAGAAACATGTCAATAATATTCAAATGCTCAATGTTTTACATAAAAAGGTCCTGTAGCGTTTCACATTCTCTCTTTTTTGCAGACCTTACACCACAAAGACGAATGTTAATGACAAGTCATGTTTTGATGACTGAACAGGGTTACTTTGAAACAAACTAACACTTCTTTTTCAGAATAGACTCATCTATAAATGCTACACTGACGTATGTGTCATGAAAAGTGTATTTTACAACAAAAACACAGAGATTCCCACCACTAAGAGCTCGACTAACAAGTGCCTCATTGAGAGATACATGAACACATTTTTCAGAGACTGTGGTATCTACATATGGATTGTGTTTGTCTGTTGCGGCAAAACCCAGTGATAGGGCAGGCAGATGAACTGGAGACCACTGTAGGTCCTCAGTGAGGCACAGGGGCTTCTGATTCGGCACAGGAAACAAAGCAGTCCAAGAAGGCTCCACCCATTTAGGACAGGCCCCGCCCACTAACACTGGAATGTGACCAACCATGCAAATAAATGAAAGCAAAACACATCAGATGAGATCATGCAAAGCATCCATGTGCCATCTCTGCGGCGAGAGTTTATCAGCATCTCGGTTGAATCAAATCGCCTGCTTTATTTGTCCACCATAGTTCAATTTAATTGAATGATGTCCACACAACTGGAGAGCATGATGTCCTTGTTAACTGTGAAAATGGTTCTGTACAGTTTTATTGGCATTTGCTAGTAAAACAGTCCCACGTAAAATGTCTTTTATTTATCCGGGTAACCCACGGAGAAAAAGAGGCAAAAA